CGTTTATAAACTATATGCCATGCCAGTTAAACTACCTTTGCAACCGACTATGTTAAGATCGTACTTACACCATACATGCCGCTGAATGACTCAGTATCTAGTTTACTAAAAAATTCCACATAAAGATCCATTAACACAGGTAATATATGGAGCGAAATAGATAGTATTTGTGAGCAATTAAATAATATGAGTTCTAAAATCGAGTCACCTTCAGACTCTTTTAGTCTAATTTTAGTCCAAGTCTCGACCGTTGTTGCCAACTTAAAGCGGTGGTCGGACTTGCCTATCATGATGAAGCAACCGAGCTATACTAGCTGGAACAACCATTCGTCAAGGTCCTACCATGTCAAACAGGTCGGTTGAAGAGCGGTAAGACTAAAAGCAACAAACCCAAGGTCCGAAGGCGAAGTCGTACTGCTGACTGTACAGAAGTGTGACAGCAGTAAGGTGTTTCCTTCAGACAACCGGCATGACAACAATGCTGCCTTCCCACAAGGAGGGGTGGGGTTAGGAAAGGTCGACCCTAAAAATGCACACCTCACCTTATCCCACGGATATCCGTCTCCGGCGGTAACATCTCAACAAGTACGGAGCTGACACAAAAATTACCCACAAAAAGGTCGTGTGTGATCGTCCCTTGTGCACTGAGGTCACGCTACCAGGTCACTAAGACCACCTCTAATCCAATTCCCTTTTCAGGTACCTCCAGAACAACCCTTCCACGGTGTGGGCAACCGGGGAGTGATAAACGCCCTCATACCTCTAACAGCACTCAAGATCACTGTATTCATAATCAACCTCCGTCTTCACTTCCTACATCGACTTTCACCTCTAAACTTCCTCTTTCGGCTTCCCCTCAAGTGTCACCATAGCCAACAATTCTATTGCTCAAAACACTGTCCCAGGTCTACTAAAACCTCTCCCCAAACTACACATTGGAGCCTTCAATGTACGCACCCTATATCAAATCGGTCAACAGGCTTCCTTGGCTAGAACCCTAGAATCTCGTACCATTGATGTATGCTGTGATTCTGAAACACGCATACAGGATCCCAGTGTAGTCATTCACTTGACCTCACCTCGGCAAAACGGAGAGCCAACGAGATACACCCTCCGTGTACCTGATGACCCGACGGCCAGCTCTAGTGGACTGGCAGGTGTAGGCATAGCACTAAGCATGAGGGCCAAACAAGCACTGTTAGAGTAGATCCCCGTTAACAGTCGTCTATGTGCTGTTCTGCTACACGGATCAGTAAGAACTCAGAAGGATAGGGACACACGTCGTTTCCTTTTCTTTGTTTCTGCCTACGCTCCCACCGACTGCCGCTCAGATGAAGTGAAAGATGAATTTTACAGAAAGCTATCTGAACTTCTTCAGAAAGTTAAACGTTCAGACATAGTACTAGTAGCAGGTGACTTTAATGCTCAGATAGGTAGCTTAAACCAAACAGAAAGGCATTTAGGTGGATATTTCAGCATTCCGGCACAGCGAACAGATAATGGTGACCGTCTGCTGCAACTGTGCTCAGACAATCGCTTATTTTTAGCAAACACAAATTTTAAACATAAGGAGAAACATCGTCTAACATGGCGACCCCATACACCAATCCAAAGATGGACTCAAATAGACCATATTGACATCAGTCATCGATGAAGAGGGTCGGTAAAAGATTGTCGCTCATTCTGGAGTACCTGCTTGGACTCCGACCATGCCCTAATACGGGTACGCATCTGCTTGCGCCTCACTGGACGCAAAAAAGCTACACTAGAAAGACCCATTAGAACTGAATTGAGTAGTGAGAAAACCAAAAGTAGGTTCCAGGAAAAACTGAGGTCACACTTAGGTAATTCTGGGAACGATGCTGACCCAGATGTTGCTTGGAAAGCTATACAAGCAGCTGTGGAAACAGCAGTGACATCTATCAGTGATTTAAACCACAGAGTTACAAAGAACCAATGGATTTCTTCAAGGTCTATTGCACTGGTGGATTCTCACAAACGTATCCTATCAGGTTCCAAACACGATGAAGAGTGTAAACAAATCAGATCTAGGTTAAGCAAAAGAAACGACAGTGAGAGTGGTGGGCAACGAAAGCAAAAGATATGGAAAAGGAGGAGGCTATAGGGAACACAAGACAGCTCTACAGACTAATAAAAGAAACTGGAATTAATAAGTCAAGTGTAAGTCAGACTATTTCGGAAAAAGACGACACCCTCATCTGCTCTCAGTCCAGACGTTTAGAACTATGGGCGGAATATTTCAGAGAACAGTTTAGCTGTCCTTCAGCTACTCTACAACTACCCTCCATTCCCAGACAGTGTGAATGGAACATTGAAGTAGGTCCCCCAACTCTAGCAGAAGTTCAAAAGGCTATAGTTAATCTGAAACGAGGAAGGGCAGCTGGTCCAGATGGATGGTGGTCCAACTTTAGCGATTAGGTTGACTAATATTTTAGCTAAGATCTGGGAATTAGACGTTATTCCATCTGACTGGTCACAATCACTAATCGTCTCAATATATAAGAGAGCGTTAAAATCATCCTGTGACAACCATAGAGGGACTAGTTTAACTAATATAGTATCTAAAATACTAGCCTCGATAATTATCAGACGCCTAACTAAGACTCATGAACTGCAAACACGAGAGAATCAAGCTGGCTTCAGACCTGGTCGTGGCTGCATCGACCACATATTCACCATTCGTCAGGTTCTTGAACATAGGCATACTTATCGGCGTCCGACAATGGTGGTCTTTTCTGACTTAAAAGAAGCATTTGACTCGGTAGATCGCGAGATTCTGTGGCAGTGTCTGCCACTGAAAGGGGTACCTCAGAAGTACATAAACCTTGTAAAGGCTCTTTACTCGAGCACTACCAGTCGAGTCAGAGCTTATGGCGAACTGTCATCCGCTTTTGCAACCTCAAGTGGTGTCCGTCAAGGCTGTCCACTTTCTCCATTTTTGTTTAACTTCATCATAGACCTATTGATGGAAATAACATTCTCGTCTATTGAATTCCGGGATATTGATCTCCTACCAGGAGGTCCACTTATCGACTAAGAATACGCAGATGATATAGTACTCTTTAATGAAAACGCTCATAAAATGCAGTCTTCTGGTATCACTAAGCAACAATGCCAGAATGTTTGGAATGCGCTTCTCTCCCTCTAAATGCAAGTTGTTACTCCAGGACTGGCCTGAGTCAATACTTGTACTAAGGATAGGGAGTGAAGTAGTCGAACGCATTGACAACTTCATTTATCTTGGAAGTCTGATCAGCCCTAATGGGTTGGTATCGGACGAAATCTCAGCACGGATTCGAAATGCTCGTTTGGCTTTTGCCAACTTACGTCACCTGTGGCGAAGGCGAGATATCCGTCTATCAATAAAAGGACGAGTATACTGCGCGGCAGTCCGATCTGTTTTAATTTACGGCAGCGAAACATGGCCATTAAGAGTAGAAGACACTCGTAAGCTACTAGTATTTGACCACAGATGCCTTAGAAATATTGCTGGCACCTGCTGGGATCACCGGGTAAGTAATAGTGAGGTTAAAGGCAGGGTATTAGGGAATGATGGTAAATCAGTTGATGAGGTTGGGAATCTTCATCGACTGAGATGGTTGAACCACGTGTTACGTATGTCCGAACGCCGATTACCACGACGTGCAATGCTAACCGGTGTTGGAGATGGTTGGAAGAAAGTTAGGGGCGGCCAAACCAAAACGTGGCATCAGTGCTTAAAGTCACTAACTTCTAGTCTGAGCCATGTTGGTAGATGCAGACTACTTGGTTGGGGTCCGCGTAACTTTCGTAACCAACGGTTGGAGACTCTTGGTGACATGGCTCAGGATCGATCACAATGGCGTAGGTGTAGACATTCTCTATCTTCCCGTAAACTAAGAGATTAAAATCGCTCCATATCTTTTTTTCTACGAACTAATTCTTTCTTCCTGTACTATATCCTTATATGCAATCTTTCTTTTATATATTACCACCTCTGACTTAACTACTCCTGTGAATCCGGTGTTTATCTTGTTGTGTTAATGAGGTATGGCAACTTGGGCCGATGCATATATGTGCCTGGTCCTACGTTGTAGCTGACTGACTGACTTAGTCCATGTATATAAACGTAGATTGTCAGAAAATGGCATTTCCTAATGAAGGACATAATTTTTAGCTAAGCAAACTAACTGGCTGAATATTAATATACAGCTTTTATCGCATACACCAATGACTAAAACACTAAACGGTGAATAGATTAGACGTTTCAGACAGGATGTTCATGTGTGATTAAATTGTGAAAGTAACAAATGTTAGAAAGAAACTTCCTCTCTTGACTGGTTCAATAGCCTTGTATAGCCTTGATGGTTTGAATAAAGTTTGGAGATGATTTTCTGTCGGATTGATTTCGAGAATCTAAACAATGAATGCAGTTTAGCAAACATTGTAAACTTCACAATGATACTTTGTAACACTTCCTCATTCAAGTAATTGAACCAACTCGTCAAATGGAATTTAATCTCCAGTCACTTCTAATTTTCATAAGCTTTATGACGAGTAGTTTATTTAAGCTTACAGTATATGGAACGAGTGCTCTCAATAAACTTTGGGTATTACTTTTGTTTAATATTTAACAATAATGAAAATATATAATGATTTCTGTCGAACAGCCTATACATTCGTCAAATTATCGAAAACTTGGTAAAAATAAGAATGACTTCAGTGAAAATAAAACCGGAGCTGTGAAGAAAAGCAGTTCTTAAACATCTTTTACCTATGTAAGGCTTGCGTAAAAACTTAACAACTCCAAGGTACACATAAATGGCTTCAAAATAGACTCACCAAAGTTCTTATAAGAGCAGGTCACCTATGCAGACAAAAATGTCTAATTTAAGGTGGTCAAATCATTGCATAGTAGATTATCTACATTTCTTACAACTAGAATAAAAAATAAAAACAATTTTTTTAATATAGCATTTAATGGCACGATATCTGACCCCAGTTATATCAAATGATACATACCGGCTACCCTTGTATATAATCATACACTTAAATCACTTTGGTTAATAACGGAATTAAATAATTCGAATACGAGAATGGACTTACAATACGTGCACATATGTCATACACTAATCAATCCAGAAAGACAATCAGAGAAACTGAACGAAGTTACGCGTAGTGGAGAATGCGAATGAACCAACTCGTTTTGATAAAGCGTGACTCAATATTTATATTCAAACAAAATTAATTTACAAACACATAATGAATAGGCTGAGCAATTAGTGACACATACGATCATATAAAAATTCAAGGTTAATAAGTGAATAATTGACGATGTCAAAATATGGCTTGAGAAGAATGAATAAATTGATCTGGCCAGAAGCTAAAATAACCTTTGTGTGCTTGACATAGTACCAGCCATTACAAGCTTTATCATATACACACATAGATGAAATACATTATTTTAATCACTGATATCAGTCGACAGTATATATCAATCATTCTAAGACGGTCTAATAGATAGTTATTTGTAGCGACGCCAAAAATTTCTAATTAATTAAACGTTCAACCATTAGATCCTTCAGCTGTCTATGAAGTACCATTAATTTGGCATGAAATTATTTCTTCTTCATTACATATTTGTCACTCAGCCAACCATATGACATAGTGGAAATCGATACACATTACTACATGATACTAATGAAACGCCCCCCCATCCAAGTGGATAATGTGTAACCATATTAATTATTAAAAATTATATTACGACTAGATATGAATACAGAGTTAAATTTTTGTCTTTTTTTTTAATACAAAATTACGCAATAATAATAAAGTTTCAGTTCATTTTATGAACTTTAAACATTCAAAAAAAATTATAGTTTATAATAAACTGGTAGTTATAGCACAACAATTTGAAACAAGATATGGTAATGTTTGTGGTAAAACGGCCCATTCATTTGTTTTTAAATTGTAAGTTTGAATTAAATTTGATGGTTCCATATTGTTACGACCACCAATTAAAAAGATATAATCATTCCATATACGTGTAGCTAATTATTCAACGGGAAAGAAAACATTAAATATAAATCCTTAAGTATTAAGATTTAATTTTATTAATGAAGTTTTGTTCTCTGAAGTGCATGGTTCGGTCGTGGAACTTTCATCGTTCTTCTGATCGACATTATCAGCACAAACTACAGGCTTTTACCTGAAGCTCCACGACCAAACCATCTAGCTCAGAGAACAAAACTCCATCGAAATCATCCACCTGAACTACAAATTTTCTCCACCATTTAATTTGACATTAAAAATTAGGAAACCTTGTAGACGGAATACTAATTGTTGATACAAACTTAACTGTTATAATCTGTCGTTTATGATTAATTTATCAAACTAAACAATGATAAATTCAATTTCTCCAATCTCTCTTCAAAAGTAGAAAAATAAGTTTTTTTTATCTGCTTGTTGTTAATATTCCCTGTTCTTGAGTACAAAATCGTTCACTATCATAGGCACGTGCTGATGATCAGTAACAAGTTAAGACGAAACATCCCTCTTAATTCACCTCGATTTTCAATGGTTCTTCAGTTCAGATCAGTCTGTTATCTTCAATGTTAAATGACCACTATGAAGCTTCAAACTATATTAATACATATGAAAGATTAGACATTAATGTTTAGAATATCCAAGTCACCCATAGTTACATTTTATAAAATTCTTCATTTTATAATTTTTCTCATTAAAAACTATTTCTAATTCAGTTTATATGATAAAACAATTTATATCAGGCTTGTTTGTCGATCAATCGTTATTATATAAGAAACAGTTTATTCGATAATTTGATTGAAAGTAAATGTAAATAATTAAAATGAATCGAGTTTAATACACTCGGTCTCATCTGATAACTTTCAGGCTGAACAAAACATAATATAAATTACGAATGTTTTTCTAGACAATAAATACAAATAATAATATCAGAATGGGTTTTGTGGAGAGTTTAAGAAATTTCACAAGTTGAAATCATGAGTCAGTTGAAGCTAGACCACCATTGAAAACCTGGAAGCACTGGACGGCCGTTTCGTCCTGGTATGGGACTCCTCAACAGTGCGCATCCACGATCCCGCACCACGCGGGGCTCGAACCCATGACCTACTGGCTTCGCGCGCGAGCACTTAACCACTAGACTACTGAGCCGGCATCCAACGTTGTTAATGTTTAACTCCAACCAATCCACGAAGTTGCGCCACCGTACACCATTGTCTTCAGTGAGTTGTTATCTCACAACAGACCTGGTTGAACTCCACTGGTAACGGCTTCTCACTAGAACTCCAGGAGTTTTTCTTCAAGTCAGTCACTAGTGAGCAGTTGATTATTATCAGAATGGGTTTTGTGGAGAGTTTATACAAATTTCATAGGTTGAAATCATGAGTGGATTGAAGCTAGACCACCATAAAAGATTTTTGATTTCAGTACAACAACCTAAAAACCTAGTACTCTTAGAGTTAGCAACTGTTGAGCATTATTTTTCAGTGTAAAATTTATGCGTTTTTAAAAAAACAAATTGTATTTTATGCAATGAGGTATTAGATTAATATTATTTGACGGTAAAAATATATTACCAGCAAATGCCCGATGTAAAATCATTGGTTTGCCTTTACTCCATATTGTAGTTTTCAATGAAAAAATATCTGTGGTATTTACACAACCAGTTTCATTAGCTCCACCGCATACGTATACACAATCATTGTGAATAAAAACACTTGAAGCTTCACGTCTAAAACGCATGGAAACAAGAATAACAGTAAGTGATGATGATGATGATGATGATGTTGTAAACTATAAAATTCGCCAATCTCTACATACCTTAAATATAAGAAATGAACTTGAATGAATTATATTCAGTGTTTTTTAAATACGAGAGTTATTTTCGCTACATAACGACGAGAAATAAAAGCCAAAAATGTGTCTCAAGTATTGCAAACAAATATGTATGGTGGCTAGCAGTGAAATCTAGGATGCGCGTTTCACCATATTCGGGACTCGTCAGCCGGATGTTGATGTCCATTCTGGGACTGGAACCCAGTACCATTCGCTTCAAATGCTATCGCGTTTGTTGTGAAAACTTCTCGAATTTAAACATATACAGACAGCTACATGGACTCGGGAAGCAACTGAAATGCTGTATAAATTTCGATAAATCTCAATATAATGAAATAATTTCATATCAGTATATAAACATTAATATTGAAACAGTCACAAATCAAATTATATTGCTTATCTTGTGGACAATACTTCATTCTGAGCTCAATGATTGATCTAATTTTATAGTTTGTTTAATTTCAGTCTGCAAGTCACGTGTAGATATGTGTGACGTTACAATAAAAGATAATTCATATGTAATCATGAATTGATCGCAAGATAATAAATCAAACCTTAATAATGTTGCATGTTACAATCAGATATCCCGTGAAATCCTAATAAGTAACTACTGTTTAACTAGAACTTCATTCATCATGTAAGCAACATGTATTATCTATAACCCATATTAATTATGATACAACCTATCAACTGACTGATAAATATACTATTAAATTTATGGTTGTCCTAGAAAACTATTACGATCCTATATTCAGTCCAACATTCATTAAAACCTGAAGTAATTTCCATATGATATTTAGTATTACATCTGTCTCTTCAGTATCAATCAATTATTATAGTGAATCACCTATTAATCAGTAATCAATATGAAATACAGCGCAATCAGAAATATCAATATTTTGAACAATTACTTCCCATTACCATGGAACTATGTTGTAGTGCCTATTTAGTATAGTATGACATAAGTAAATGAATCTCAAAGAAAATGACACATAGATTACAAAATTTTCATGAACACATATAGTATCACTATAATTATGATTTCAAACATGCGTTGAATTATTTATTTATTACAAAACACCTTTTATTCATATTAGGGATTGTTCATTAGAATTATATCACTATGGTAATGTTGTTTCAGTTTTACCTAGAAACATAATCATCATATCTCTCTACTGTTTTCGTATAAGTAATTGCTAACTCTGCTAAAAATCTTTATGACTTAATGACAGTGTTGAGACAATCCTCTTAGGATGCACTTATGCCAAGAGAGACTGGTCATTTACAGTTCTTAACATCAATGACGGGAAGATTAAAACACCCTTGATAACTGACTTAAAATTTATCGCTGTTGCACAAGCCAATGGCTAGTGAAATTCAGTATTTAGAGTTTAAAGTGAGAATAAGTGGATACGGGTCCTTGTGTGAACATCAACACGGGCTCAAAGATATTTGGTTTCAAATAGAACAAAACAAGCATCCTAAACCCCACTATCTAACTCTGCTTAAGATTCTTAATTGTTGCATATATATGCTTGCTAAACTTAAGCACCGAAACAATGTAAAATATTTCCTTAATTATTCATGTTTAAATGATGCTTACAGAAAAGAATGACTTTTGATCTAATTTGACTTTAATTTCACACGTTACCCTTGGTTGTAATAATTTCAGTTTTTTATCTTATCTTCCTTCGTACACTTGAATTACCAAACACACATTTATCTTAATAAAATAGGTTTTAACCAAACTGTCTATTAAAATTAAAATAGACTGAGAAAAACATGACTTTCATTTAATATAAATAATCAATTAACGTTTGATATAAGAGATTGATAAATACTCTACTATTCCTGTGAGCCTTAAGTTTACTAATTGCACAGGTTATGGGTCAATACAGCTGAGAGATTAAAATAATCTAAAAGGAATTAACTTATCAGTTCGCTTTAGTTATTTTTAGAATTTATGCTTTTTGTCTGATGCAATTTGAAAACAGTATAAGATTAGACTTTGGTTACTTACAAAAGTCTAAAAGTAGTAAGATTGATCAAAAATAATATTTCATCGAAATCATGAGTCGATGAATGTTAGACCACCACTAAAAACCTGGTGGCACTGGACGGGCGTTTTGTACTAGTGTGGGATTCACCAGCAGTGCTTATCCGCGACCCCGCCCCCGAGATTCAGACCGAAGACCTTCGGTCTCGCTGATTACCTAGTCGGTATCCAATGCTATTTATGTCTTGAGGTTAAGCGAAGGCGTGAAACCGGAGGTCTTGGGTTTGAGTCTCGAGTGCGGGATCGTGGATGTGCACTGCTATGGAGTCCCATGCGAGGAAGAAATGGTCGACCAGTGCTTCCATATTTTTAATAGTGATCTAACATTTGAATTAAATTCAATAATCTCCACAACCCCAAACAGAAAAGAAATACTGATAATACCTTACTGATACTTTTTTAGTTTATGTAGACCAATGTAAAGGAAATGTGAGAATACATAGGAATCTCTACAACTCAATCATTTAATACGTATATTTCTGACCACCTACCCATTTTATATTTAATAAATGTAACATCTCATATGTTGTTCAGTGAATTAAGAGAGAATACTTTGTCTTATGACACTTATCAAATGACCTGACAAACTTCATATCTATTGATGATGATTTTATCATCCAACTACTTGAATTTGTAAGCATCCATTCTATCAGTAGACAACTTTTGTACAAACCATTAATTATCTAGATGACTAAGATATTGACTGTATTTAAAAAGAACAAAATGTTATCATCTGAACAGTATTGTGAAGTAAATATCTAAGTGCAATACGATATATCATATACTTATTTCTAAGGGAATTATATCTTGATAAAGTTTCTGTTTTAAAAATATGATTTTCTAAGGTTCATATCCAAACAGAGTGTTTCTTTGAGTGAATATACAGTACATTCTTTACGGACATTATCAAATCATTATAGTCTGATGTAAAATGAATTTCAACTTAAAAGAATAATAACTTTCTCACATTTAAAACGGTAAAAGATGAAATTAAACTATATTAAATGATTAATTTATGGTGAAAAACGATGATTTGTAATGATTTTCATTCTTCATCACATGAACATATATAACGTAGTTAATGGGAATTTATTCTGTACCACAATAATCAAAATATATTACATTGTTGAATCAATCAGTTCTGGGGTTATGTCTTTTAGTTTGTATTATAAAACTCGGGAAAGATTGTTAGCATTACTGTGTCAATATATTTCATTACAAATAACTTTGTAGATTGAAATAAATTTATGGCTATAAGCAACATCTCTGTATTCACACACCAAGCCCACGTGTTAACAGATATCGATAACATTTATTCCTGAAAATAAACAGTGAAAAAAATGCTGACCCTTAAATATAATAATGAACTATGTTAGGTGATTTCCTAACTCTGGACACACTAGAGCTTTAGACGTTCTGGAGAGAAAGCTTGACTGATAGGGTCCAACCAAGTCGGAAGTGAAACAACTGTCTCCAACACTATAACTAGCCTTACACTACTAATTAACTAGAATATAAAAAATTGTGCATCAGATTCCACCTTACAGAGCTGGTAATAAATTATAAAATTCTGTTCCAGATGCGTGTGATCCGGTGGATTTTTCTGCTCTCAAGTTTCTAGTAGTTTGGCGGCTGCTATCGTTATAGACCTAAAGCGTCTTACAGCTTTAACTTACCACTAAAGACGACCCGGAAAACAATATGACGATTAGAAAAATAAAGCAAGCTGCCACTTCAGAGATCTACTGCAATACGCCCACAATGAAACAATTTGAAAAAAAACTTTTTATCTTACTTTAGTATAATAAGGTTTGTGTTAACAAAATGATCGTGAATACTTACACTTCAGTCATTTTCGCTAAAAGCTGCCATTTTCCTGACGTAATATCATACATCTCGATAGTTGAATCGCTGACCCCGCCAACAACTATAATTTCATTATTGGTAGAGCAAACGCTAAAACCAAATCGTGGTCTCAACATTGACGAACATGATTCCCACTTATTTACTCGTGGGTCCAACATCTCAACGGATGATAAAGTTTGATCTGTAGAGATAAAAAGAAACAAATAAATCAAAATGCTGACAATGAGCGTTTTGAATTTCTAGTCAGGATTGTACTCAACTGGTCGTTTTAAAATGGTAGTAGAAAAATGTACGGTGACCTAACTGAACAACACTTGTATTTAATACTACAGATTGATTTTAGCTAGACAATCATATAGAATCATGAGACAGTGGACAGTAGTTTCTTCTTAGATTAAAACTTCTCACCAGTTTGCACACTAGGCCCCATAAGGAATCAAATCTAGGATGTTCAGGCCCTGCAGAGATCATGTTACTCCTATATTATGAAGTCTATACCTCAAGCTTTATACTTCAAACTTTATTGAATTCAAGATATTGTTCGAACATCACCCACCTCTGTTAATAATATCTGTCTGAAATTCAAATCCTTAGGTAATATTCAGAAACCTATAGAGTTCATTTTAACAGCTACGTAAATTATTTTTTAAAATGCTTACCGTCTTCTCTGACACCTCCTATAGCATATATCACACCATCACATTCCGTAAGTGAATACCAACTTCGTCCAATATTTAAATTTGGTCCACTAGACCATAAACCTAATGAAATATCATAAATATTAGATGTTTTCATTGAACATTTAGGCTTTCCACCAACAAGATATATTTTATCATTTAAATTGATAGCCCCAAAACCTTTTCTTAAAGAAGGCATAGTTTTTAAATTTGGTAAAATTATTTGTTTTAAATAAGGAAATGTACATGATTCTATGTAATCATTATTTGAATAATTTTCATCAATATTATAATTTTGATATGGATCCATGCATAAATTTTGATTCTGATTAATAAATGATTTCAATTCAAAAATTTTATAACATGTTATATTTGATGAGAAACTTTTGTTACATAATCGTCCTCCAAAGCATATCAAAGATGTCTGAAGTAACAAGAAATATTTCTTTTTAAAAACAAAATAACAACAGAAGGGTTTTTTTGTGGATATTATAGTAATTTCGATGGTTGAGATCATGAATCATTTGAATCTAGACCATCATGGAAAACAATAGGACGAAATGGACGTCCAGTACTTCCAGATTTTTCATAGTGGTCTAGCTTCAACTGACTCATGATCTAAACCATTGAAAAGAAATAACAATTAATGCAGAATACTGTTAATAATTATCTACCGATAATTCAACAAACTGAGATGTCTGGATAAATTTCTCAAATCAACACAATGATGATGACGATGATGGTGTTAAGTCTTTCAAATTAAATGATTTTTACCATACTTCAAATGGTTAAGAATTGTTAAGGTCTTGTATCCAATAGACTTGATGCTCTTTATTCTCTTTTTTCAGTACCTCATTTGTAGTGCACAGCTATGGAGATTCTTACGCCTGATACAAAAACCTTACATACGTGTTCTTTATGGTCACAAATTATAATAAGTGCCTTTCAATTATTGGATTTTTTTCTGGTAAGCGTTTTTTTAGCGAGTTAGTTTTCTATCGGATGGGGACGCTAACCCCATGCCCGACCCTCCTCCTTTACCCGGGCTTGGGGCCGGCAGTAACCCTATAAGAGCTACAGGCGGAGTTGCCTTTCAATCATTACTTAATAATAACTGTAAACTTATCAAACAGTTCTACTACACAAATAATTTTAAAATAGATCTCTTTGAACACTATCCTGTGAATCATTACTGATTTGTAAATGCTACATTTTAACAACTCTGTTGGGCACCCACCCTATCTGTAAACACTTGTTGGAAACTTCATCATGCTTGTAAAAATGGTATGTACCCGCTTTGTCAGAAATACATTATAATTATTAATTGGGAAACCGTTATTGTTTCTCAACATCAGTTCAAAAGTGCTATTTTAGGATTCTTCCATTTGTATTAATTTATAGCGATCAGAATTCAATACTACTTTTGTCCACAAAGCACATATTCAAATTAACACATTTTTAACAGTTCCGTTTATGTTCTAACGAATTCTCATTGAAATACAACTGAATTTTCATTTATTTGTTTAATTGTATAAGAAACGTCTTGTGATGACAGATTGATTCATTTATGTCTTGGTCATAAAAATCTTATGAATGTAGAATTGAATACTTTATAAGTCGTGAATTAATATGTTTGATTACTTGATTTGGTTGAGTTATAGTCAGTTACTCCTGGAATATATTTGTTGACAACTGTTAGTCATTGTTAAAGTCTAATAACTATGTTATATTCTTTAGGACATAATTGGAAATACAACGAATCAGGTGATTTGATTAAATATCATTTATTAACCCTATAATAAGTTATCATATGTTTAAACAAAACTTCGTTAAAGAAACCCGTCATATTAAAAGACTAGTATTTGAACGAAGAATATTCTTTTCGATAAGACATAAAACGGAGGGATGAATGCGAAATGAATGAATCATGTATAGGGGAGATTAATTATGTTTAACCAATAATACGAATAATAATAATAATACGAATGATAATAATAATACAAAGATTTATGAATAAAGATGGCAGGGACAATAACAACTGACTACGAGTGAGTTATATTTGTCGAAGTTCTAGGAATTTACATTTTCGTGCTCGTGAACACCTTCCAGCGTGGTTAAACAAAGGTTAGATGAAGAAGGTGAACAGCTCAACATTGGCCCATTTAGTACTAACTGGTCATAGTGCCAGTATAAACCAATCTTTTTCAATTATTTATAAGGTAAGTAATTTCTTACCAAAATTGGTCAGACTGAAAGTCTTTCAAACGGCTGAAGCAGTAGCCATCCGGATGAAGAAACCGGAAGAAATATATTCAACCACTCCTCCCCTGGCCCGCATCAAGTCCAATTAATCAATCGTAATCTTAACTATTGAATGAACTAATCTGACTATGACCTTTCGTAGTCAATTGTAATTGTCCCTGTTATCTTTATTCATAAATCTTTGATTCATTCATTTCGCATTCACCCCTCCGTATTACGTCTTACTTATTTGATTGAATTGTAATTGCACTATTATTTCTCTCTCACCCTATCTAACCCATATTTATTCTGATCATGGATCTTAAAATTTCACTTAACATATAAGCTGATTCAAGTTAACATTCTATATGAGTCATATTAACATTAATAATTTTATTGTATTTTGTTTATCACAATCCTAAATTCACATGCCTTAAACGATGTACTTTGCCCTTAACCTGGACATTTTTTTCGGATTATTAATTTGGATATATAATTGTAGAACCTGAAGAGAATTTATCGAATACTAGTCTTTTAAAACTTCGTTAAACAACAATATTAAATAGAATAACTAAATTGGAAGTAAATGCCTTAAATACTTTGAATATTTAAAGAAAAAACAAAGTGGTTTGATCAGTATTAGAATGTGAGAATGTACTCGAAAATGACTTACATTTTCTGTAGTTTGTTTTGGTGGATCACTTTTCAAATTGCATACTGATAAATTAGTCACTGTCAACTCTTTGTCTGTAGAATGATTTGACTGAAAAATATGTATAATGTAAATTATAACAAAAGTCATTTATATGTATCTAAGTAAATTCTTACTTAAATATATTTCATATTAATTAAATTTACTTTTCATGTCAAAGTAACATCATCTGAAGATCTTTTAGTAACATAATAATATTGAGACATAAGAAAGATTGGTTCTGTGAAGAGTTCTGTTCTCGGAGAAATCGTGTTCAGAAGCTGTACAATCGCAAATATATACTTCTGTTTCAAATTGATAATAATTACAGTAATGGTGATAATAAATTTTTATTAAACATGGAACAGTGTGTTAGAATAAACAAAGGCATTAAAATGTTATAAAGGTCTCTATAGACCTTTTACCCCCAACTAGTTTATTTCTGTGTCAATGGTTCTCATGATTACAGTTCATCTCAATTTCAAAAGATTATCTTGTCATGCTTAGCCTTCCCTTCCCAGTTAGAATTTATTTATTTATCTTCATGATGAATATTCAAGCACTCAACAACAAAATTATTATTGGTTTCTTTGATAAAAAGAACGTTATATTACTTTTGTTTATTCTACCTCACTATTACCATGTTTAATAGAATTTTATTATCGCTATTACTGTAATTATTATCATTTTGAAACAGAAGTAAATATTTGCGATTGTACAGCTTTTGAACACGAATTCTCCGGGAAGAGAACACTTCACTGAATCAATCTTTCCTATTTTATGTCTAAACGGGTGTATTCCGTTTGCTTAATGATAACATTGAACAATAGTTTCACCCTAGATTATGAGCATTTAAAAATGAACACTCATAACTTCACATAGACTCAGACTTACAGAATTACCTAGTTAGTATCGAGTGGTTTACAATTGTCATCTTCTGATAATTCGTGATATAATGCGCTTCTCAATCAATATGATAGGTGGATAGCTGGTTCACTTCAAACCTGACTAATCACTACTATATATTTGAACCATCGGATAACACTTCACTGGATGAATGACGTAAGACTGGCCGTTAAACTTCAAAGTCCTGATTTAATTACAAAACAATTATACTTATGAGATGAAAAAAAATTTTCAACGATCGTATTAGCAAATATAATTAGTCTCATTCATATTTGAAATATTAAAGATCCGTAAGTTTTTATCATTTAATACTAAAGTCTGACTTTAGTTAGACAATCAATTGAAAACAAGAAACATTGGACATCTATTTTCCCTTAGTATAGAACTCTTTAACGGTGCTCATTCGCCCCCCAAACATCGATTGGTCTTGGTATCTTTATTTCTCATGGATAGTGCCTTTTAAAATTTTGGTAGTATTTTGATCACAACTCTTATTACACTACACTGTTCCTAACTTATAAGAACTTACAGATAAACTCTGATAGAATTTTCACATTTGAAGTGTTTTGCTGACATTGTTTAAATAAGTAAACCTGTTCCTAATGAATTTTCCATAACAGCAATGAACAGTTTACTATATACAGACACTTTACTTAAATGAATATTATGTAATCTTGATTATCATATATATATATATATATATATATGATAGCACTGAAGTACTGTGCCAACTCCATTGAAATATAAACATTTGCTTAATACTGCTTATTTAAAAAGAAGAACTAGTTGAATATTGCAAGAAGTGTAAAATACGCATCGATAATTTTGTCTTACTAACTTACTTTACGATTCCATTTGGCTATTGCTACTGACCTTGATAACTGACCTAAATCAATAAGCGCGTTTTTTACATATGAATGAAATATATTCATCTCTTGATTTTCTAATATATCAAGTAACTTCATTGTGTCTATCAATTGAAAACGTATATGCTCACATAGTTGTTCTTTATATGTGTAACGATTGTCATAATCCTTTTTAATCCATATATGTATAAATTCCAAAAGTTTCCATTCATCTTGAACTTTGAAATCATCTTGTTCTAGTATTGCTAATAGTTCTTTAGGTTCAATATTCATAGTCTCATTATTATCTAACATTTTGCTCCAAAGAAAAAAAAAGAAAAAGAAAGGAGATAGTCAATACGATGAAGGTAAATAACTTAACATAGAAGTATGTTATTCTAAAGAACACTTCATAAAAAGCCAAAAACGTTATGTAAAACCAGTCTACGATGAAATGTAAAAACTTATTTTGTTATATAAGTAGACTAAAGTAATTGAGTTTTATTCCTCACTAACAGTCCGCTCTGTTTTAATCGGCAGTCCGCTCTGTTTTAATTTACGGCAGCGAAACATGGCCATTAAGAGTAGAAGACACTCGTAAGCTACTAGTATTTGACCACACATGCCTTAGAAATATTGCTGGCGTCTGCTGGGATAACCGGGTAAGTAATAGTGAGGTTAGACGCAGGGTATTAGGAAAGGATGGTAAATCAGTTGATGAGGTTGTTAATCTTCATCGACTGAGATGGTTGGGCCACGTGTTACGTATGCCTGAACACCGATTACCACGACGTGCAATGCTATCCGGTATTGGAAATGGTTGGAAGAAAGTTAGGGGCGGCCAAACCAAAACGTGGCATCAGTGCTTGAAGTCACTGACTTCTAGTCTGAGCCATGTTGGTAGATGCAGACTACTTGGTTGGGGTCCGCGTGACTATCGTAACCAATGGTTGGAGACTCTTGGTGACATGGCTCAGAATCGATCACAATGGCGTCGGTGTATACACTCCCTGTCTTCCCTTAAACTATGAGATTAAAATCGCTTCATATATTTCTTTCTACGAATCAATTCTTTCTGCTTGTACTATATCTCTATATGCAATCTTTCTCTTATATATTACCACCTTTCACCTAACCACTGTTATGAATCCGGTGTTCATCTTGTTGTGTTGATGCGGTATGGCAACCTGGACCGATGCACATATGTGCCTGGTCCTACGTTGTAGCTGACTGACTGACTGATTTTGAGTCAAATAAAATTTTTCGATAGAATGATGCAACTGTATGAATTAATCTGAAGAAAATATTGGAATATTATAATTCAACACAAATTTGCTAATAGATTTCAGCTTGGTTTTTATAATAAATGAGAAGTGAGCGATTAGAAGTTTCATCCTTGACTGTAACTACTCAACTAGCCTATTTATAGAATTCGTCCAAATCTACTAATTTTGTTAAGTAACAGAAACTTTAGATAACCATCAGAACAAGTCTGAACATTTATGTATAAAAGAAATTGATTTTGAACTTGTCTTTAATATAGTCTTACCCTATGATTATTTTCATTTTACTAAGTGTATACTTAAAAGTTTATCCATCTGCTCTTATCCTTTTAAATTTTATAAGTAGCCATATCCAATATGATTTTTTTTTCAATCCTTTTAATGCCTTTAATTATTATAATACGAACTTTTCAGTTATCTTACTTTATTCAGATTATAATTTGATCATGGATGCGCCCTGCTGAAGAGTCACACAGTAGGACAAAACAGCCATCCAGTGCTTCCAGGTCTTCTATGGTGGTCTAGCTTCAATTGAATAATGATATCAACAATGATAATAATATACTATAATATCCACAAAACCCCTTCTGATATTTAACTAGTTAGTTCTATACTCCTTCCTTCGCTCATAATCTTGTGTTATTTATTATCATCTGAATTATATAACATAGTATCAGAATTTATTATACGCTTATTGATTATTTGTATTTCCTTACATAATCCAGCCTTATACATCTATCTGCTAACTGGATACATGTATTATGGACTTTAGATTTGTTTTTATTATAAACATAGAAATCAAATATGTGACTACATATTCATTTGAATTCAGCAAATTCTACATTGAAATAAATAACAGTATAATGAATATGGTCAAAATTATGCTTCTTTTTTCTTTTCAATTAAATACAAACTATTGATTTTAATTTCAATTAACCTCCATATAGCAAATAAAATATCAGAAGGGGTTTGTGGAGATTTTAGAAATTTTCACAGATTTAAATCATGAGTCAGTTGAAGCTAGACCACCATTGAAAACCTGGAAGCACTGGACGGCCGTTTCGTCCTAGTATGGGACTCCTCAGCAGTGCGCATCCACGATCCCGCACCACGCGAGGCTCGAATCCAGGACCTACTGGCTTCGCGCGCGAGCACTTAACCATTAGACGGTGTTAATGTCTAACTTCAACCAATCCACGAAGTCGCGCCACCGTACACCATTGTCTTCAGTGAGCTGATATCTCACAACAGACCTGGTTGAACTCCACTGGTAACGGCTTCCCACTAGAACTCCAGGAGTTTTTCCTGAAGTCAGTCACTAGTGAGCAGATGATTATTATCAGAAGGGGTTTGTGGAGATTTTAGAAATTTTCACAGATTTAAATCATGAGTTCTAGTGGGAAGCCGTTACCAGTGGAGTTCAACCAGGTCTGTTGTGAAATAAAATATCATAAAAATCAATAGTGTCTTTCATTTGTTTTTTGTTTTTTTCTTTACGTATAATTTACATATTTTCTCAGGTTTTTATTTGTGTTTCATAGAACCAGTAAGTAATTAGTAATTGTTAATTTACGTACATTATTTAAGAATTAACTGTAAGTTTTATCATTTATTGATTTAATTTTTCAAGGTTAACTGATATCATGTTTAAGATTGATGTCATCAATAATAATGAATGATCGTTGTGGAGTTTCATAAATTCAACGAGGTTTACATATAACTCAGTGATTTCAAGCTAAATGATCTAAAGTTACTATATTCATTGGCAAACCTAAATGTATTCCGGTTACGTTACATATGCATTTGTGAATGTTCACTGTAGAGATGTAACAAAATAAAAGTTAAACGTTTTTTTATATATTTCTTAGCATTTATTGGTTAACATCAGCCAGTGAAAAAGGTTTACCTTCAAACAATTACATAGTTTGATCCTGTTTCTTAATACTTCATGGCTCATGACGTTTTTTATTTCACTACATAGTATTATAGTATCTAGGGAATATATCTTCAACCTATCTACGTAGTTACCATCACAAACTGATTTTAGGTAGGCCATTGATTCTTGACATCGGACTCCACGTCAACACACATCCACTACCATATTAGGAGCCCAATACACTTTTTTCATGGCTCAATGTGAATAAATGTCCGGTGGTTCGCACATAATTTGTTAATTATTACTGCGCAGAGTTGACGTTTTTATAAAAATTCAAGAAGTGATTACTCTATGGTAAAGTGCTTAATACCTGTATTTTTTTAACATAAAACAGCCAAGCACTGTTTTACTTCACGCTTCTATGATACTTTATATCCCATGATATTTTACCAAATTCAGTCAACAGCTTGCTCGAACAGAAAATTAAACAGTTTAATTACTGTGATAAGGTAATAGTCAGTCAAATGATACATTGATAGACTTAATGTTTTCTATATTGTTCTTACTCACTATTAGTTGGTCTATTTGTTTCTAACAATTCGAGAAGCCTTATTTATCAAATTACGAGATTATCTGGTCTAATCACATATACATTAAGAGTTTATTATTTTCAAAATTGATATACTTTCCAACATTTGGTGAGACTATAATTTATGAAAGACCTTTGAGTGACACTAGACTGACCTTGAGAGTGTCTGCTACTAAATGAGGTTTATAAACCTGTATGAGGAATTATAATTATGATTTACAGTTGGTGATTAAGGTTCAAAACTGTATTTAGGCTTCTCATCACAAATTGACATCAGCTATAATACCAAAATTTTATTTATCCAAATGGATGAGTAAATTTCACTCTAAAATCCAAGACCTATTATCTTATACATGATTTGTTTCATTCATAAATTATAGTCTTACCATTTATAACATTTTATATTAATAGTTAATGTTTCAGATCATCTAAATTAAATTGTACACTTACTCAAAATGTTTTGCTGCATGTTTAATACATTCATTAGTTAATTGATTTGCTTCACAATTATTTACGTTATTATATTGTCTCATGAATATTAAACAATTATTTTCATTTAAATTTGTTTTCAAATAATTAATACATGCATCTTGAATAAATTGTATGTTTAATAAAACACCAACATTGTACAATTCAATTACAGTTATATCATCAATTGTAATCTCTGGATAAATGAAACATGTAAAGAAATATCAATGTAAACAATCGAAATATATTAAAAAGAAGTGTAGAATATGTAAAATTGTGAAGATGAATAGTGGCTAGCAGTGGAATCTAGGATGAGGGTTTCGTGCTATTTTGGACTCATTAGCTGGATATATCAGGGAAGATACAAGTAAACAACACCAAGTGAATGCAAGATTGTGTTTTACAATATGAATTCATTTTGAAAGCTGTAAGAACTGATGTCAGTGGAAATTACACAGAATGATACTCTATCAGAAAATTTACATATCACTTACATCTTCGTAATAAACTAACATAACTACCAATAAAAGCAGCACATCTAAAACCGTGTATCTCTAATCTAGCGTAAATTAGTAATTCATTAAGTAAAACTTCTTTTTTTAACATGACAATACAAGATCAAGTGCGCAATAATTGAGGTGTTCGCTTATGTTAAAAGTAATGTGTTCAAAAACGAATATGTTGAACTATTTCAATGGAAAATAGAAGTTTGAAAACATCTAAAGATCCTGTCAGTAATAGTGGCAACAATAACATACTAATACATCAACCACAAAAACACTTATACTCTACCTCATTTTGACATCCTGGAGTACTAAACAATCCTTTGAAAATAAAATACTCACTTTAAGGTATCCTCATAGGGCTAGGATTATTAATCTTCTTTCAAGAATTATGCAGCTACGTTGATCTTGTTGGCGGTAGTTATCAGATCAATGAACTAGCTAAGATGTTTTGCTTGATCTCTTTTTCCTGCTTATGACATATGTGACCTGTGTTTCTATCAATAAATCTGTTTATAGCTCATATTACAGATGTTAAACTCCATCTACCTATTTTCTTTACTTAATTCTAGCTAACATTTGAATTGTGAACTATGTAACTAATGAGATTGACGACTTGAGGAGTAGGTTTACAAATGATATGCTACTTAAATAAGTATATTAGATCAACATCTCGTATTATATTTTAATATCTGTTTAATTACATCAAACTAAATGAAGTGAACTATCAAATTTTTACAATAAAAATACATGAAGTGAGATAAAAGATTTTTATTTGTAAACGTCATTAAACAAAAGATTAGTCACACTGTACTTAAATGGATAACATTTTGTAACAATATAAAGACGTTTCTCCGTTTTTATTCAACTAATAGTAATTGGAAGTTGTGTCATATCATGTCCAATAAATGCTGGAACTGAGACAGTGAAAACCTCATTTCGTAAAATCTCTACTCATCACATTCAGCATTTTATGATATTGTTTATTTACTTCTGGATCACAAAACTTTCATGTAGAGAGTGATACAGAGGTAGTGTGATGACTAGAAGATATGAGACATAAGGCATCTGAAGAACATAACTTCTAAAGACTTCCATAGATGAGTTGAATAACATCTGATTGTTATAAGTAGATAGTATTGTAAATAAATATCTGGTTAATATGAATTACATTTCAGAAAACGAACATTCAATGATCTCAGGTAGCCTGTACGCTTTCTACACTGGAATTCCTTAAAAGTAAGTATAACACAGATTAACTAAACATACTACTTCCCATTATTATTTATCAATAATATAACCAAATGAAAGATTATACTGGCGAATTTGAACGCAATCGTTTTTAAAAAAGACAATTATAAACTCATCATAAACTTCATAATTATTGTGTATTTAATAATAACTGGAGTTTGTCTTGTCCTGAGAGCTGATGAAATTCTATCGACATTACGTTGCAATGTATGAAATTATGTTACTCTTTACTTTATTTGATACTACGTAGGCAATAGAAATCTCTGTATTTATGGTTAATACTATTTAATACTAGTCAGTAAAACATATTTACATTCTCCAGAGAACTGATGTCAAATTGCGATTGCTAAAAATAAAATGGTAGACAGTTATTTCAACTGTTGTTATAGCTACAGAGCATTTCAGAATTACATCTAAAATCATGACCTAAAAAGTAATGAAGTTACCTTGTGAATTTCCGGATATTAATACAATGAAATACATTGAAGAGGAACTTATCCCACAACTACATTCAAATTGTTTTCACTGTGAATAAAAACAATCAACCAGTAGAATCTTGGATCTCTTTTAACTAAACTCAAATGTAATGAATTTCATTGTCAAATGAATAGAATCATCATATTGATTATTCATTTGAATCGATATCTCTATCACTCAGAAACGTAGTAAATCCTTGAATATATCACATGCATAACTATCTCATTATAAAACACATCTTCTTAGCTATTAAAGACAGTCGAATAACTTAAAATGGTTTCTTGAATACATTAACTTATTACATCATCATAGTCTTTACAGTTAAGAAAAAAAAGAAAGAAAAACTCAGTCACATTCTGCCTATACAGAAGAATATTTTCAATACATTTTCACAATAATCAATAATCAATATTATCAATAACCATTTTTGAAAGAAGAAAAAAAAAAGCGACACAGACAAACCTGATTTATAAATATATTTTACAAAAGTATCCAATGTTTTCTCAGATATACGACCTAAATAAAATGAATTCTTTGATTGTTTTACTGTATTACTAACGTGATTATTATTAATGTTATCATAATAATTTATATTAATAATATCAGTTGAACATTTTACATTTTCTTCTTCCGCCATACAAAATTGATCAATTTTTGTTGAGACAGCACGTAATACACATTTATGCACTATTTGACTATGTGATTCACATTCTAATAAAAAACCACAATCATTTTGTTTACTTCTAAAATATTAAAACAAAGAATGATTGTAAATATAATCATATTAATAACATTTTATTATAGCGAATTGTTTTGAAACATATTGAGATATACTGAGACATAATATCAGTACGAGAAACATGCCAGTTCTATGATTATGCATATATATATATATATACTTGAATGACGTGCGTATACTCAATGATAAATTCTTATTTCTCATCTCAATGTTATTCATGCTACATTCAATGATATTGAAATAAAATCAGATATTGATTGGCACATTAAGGTGAAATCAGTTTCCATTTTATGAAACTATTTAAGTAATTACCAAAGTGAAAATAAATTTACAGATAAAATGTATTATTTGAGTATAGTTCACCTTAGAATAAGAAGATTTTCCAAAATTTAAGTTTTCAATGTAATAGAGTTCATTTACAAACATGAATGCTTTTACTCGATAAACATAATATCATAGAACTACTATTTTGAACTCGTTATCTAAATCTACCTGTATCTCAGAGTTGGTGTTCACTTTGGGATTCGGACCCAGTACCGTTCGCTTCAACTCTGGAATGCAGGCACACCCAGCTGACGAGTCTTAAGTAGGATGAAACACGCGTCAAGGATTCTACTACTAGACACCATTCATCCCCGCTTATAAAACTTGTGACTTAAGGCAATATCGAGGCAATCCGCACAGGATACACATATGCTGATTAGAGACTGATCAAGTGCAGTTCTAAACAATAACAATATAAAATTAAGGTAAAAATCAAAAGGGACCGATGTCAGTTGATGCATAAACCTACCATCACATCGTGAAGATTGAAATATATAAGAGATCAAAAATCAATAAGTCACTGAGTAATTTTAGTTATATGCTAATGCAGACTGTCTTTATTTTATTGACACCTCATCATTGAGTTTGATTTAATGTAAATGAAGATGATTCTGTTAAAATTTACCAAGTGATAAATCTGTAAATATTGCGATCATGATTGACTTGTAGTTGTGTCAAACTTGAGACAAACGTCTTTACATAGAAATGTTATATTAGCCCCTTTTGATAACGGTAGTATTAATCATTCTTGAAAGGATCATATTGATGGGTAAAATGGAGATATTATATGTCTTTATTAACTAGTGTATTCATTTGAAAGTCAGTAGAATAAAAAGAGATCCTTAATGATTTTTTAATGAAAGTAAATACACATCTCAAAAAATTAAAAACTGGAATAAATACCCAATTAAATTCATTAAGCATTAAGATATTTGAATTTGCAGGTTTATATTATTCTAGATGACAATGAAAAAAATCTAAAGATTGTTTAGTAAAATATTCTATCGTCAACATCAAACATACATGTATTAATCTCTTGATAAAAACTTCGGTACATCTACGGTAAGCTAGTTCTCTTATACATGCCATTAATTTTGTTATTATTCATTTGTACTAAATAGTGTGCTGTAGAAAAAATTCACTTTAAGTAAGTTACTTGGATGAGACTATAATTTATGGATGAACCAATCAGATGTAGGATAACAGATCTTGAATTTTGGTGCGAAATTCATTTAACCATTTGGCCAAATAGCGTATTGGCATTTTAACTGATGTCAATTCGTGATGAAAACCCTAAATCTAATTTCTAACCTTAACCATCAAATGTAAATCATAATCCTTATTCTTCAAACTGTTTTATAACCCACATTCGGTCCTAATTAATGGGTTGAAATGATCAAGGTCATTTTAGCCCCGCTCAAAGACCGTCCATAAATTATAGTCTCATTATTCCTTGTCTAAAAATTAAGACAAAGCACCGACTCTCAACATGAAAAAGAGTAAAATATTTTCAGTCACCAATTCAAATTTAAGTTTTATTGATAGGCGAATCATCTTATTTATTCCTAAAAAAAGGAATAAATAACTAACCTTTGCTGTTGATGTAATTTTTGACAAATATCAAATGGACCCATTGAATTTACAAATTTTCCTTTCATTTCTACCATTGTATTTATTTATATACATCAGAAAGGCGCATACACATATGATAATGATACACAGTGAAGTATTTTATGATACAACAATAAGTTAAACTGACAATACTTCAAGTTTTGATTCCGAATATAATTGCTTCTTTAATAAATATAAAATAAACATCTTTATTATTTATTCACTAATACACAAAAGATTATTCAATATACATAACTTTTCGAAACGTGAAATCAAGCCTACCAATATGTTTTATACAATTTAGTGTAAAAAACACACTTTTGATAGAATGATCTATGCACACAGACATACATATGAAAGTAAAATCACCTGGTTCATCGAAAGTATCACATGATTTATATAGTGCTTAAAATAATTGTCACTAGCATGGTTACAAATAGATTGTTTAACATAAATCAATAAATTTTATTTAGACTTTAAACCAATAAGCACACTTTCTTGAATAGAATTGTTTATGAAGTAGCAGATTTTGTAAATTTGAGTACGTTATAGAGATTACTTTAATGTGTTTATATCGTTCGATTATGTCGCCAGAGAATGATATCAACTTGTGAAGTATTGAAAACCAGGAGATACTAAATTACTTGTTAGTTGCAGTTTGAGACTCCTCATCTGTTTTCAATCACGATGATGCCGGCAACAAAATCGAATAATTTTAAAAGTGAAAAAGCTATTACGGATGAACATTGGTGTGGTTATACGAAATGAAGTTGTACTTAGTTGTCTAGAGGTAACCCACTTGATACTTTCTAGTACCACTCATAATGTCGATACTTCCAGTACTCCTATACTTTTCTTGATAACTGCATCTCGTTGTGCTGATATGCTGTGGCAACTCAAATCCATACATATTTTCTAGGTTCTACATTGCTTATGATTGTATCACTGAGAAAATTCTGGGTTTGATCTCTAGCGTGTCTGTTGGTTAGCACTGTTTATACGTTCTAAACAAGAACAAAAGTACTGTCAAGTGTCCCTGGTCTTCACTTGTCCCCTAGATTATTTCAGTCCTTTATGAATAAGCAATCTACCGAAAGTAGATTTTTATTAAATGAATAATTGGAACGAGTATATCATTAGGCATTCAGAAAGTATTATATTCAGCATTAATAACGACAGATATACAATAATAGACCCCTGAGGTTTTGAGTGACATCATCAGATACTTATGTGATCACTTATTAAACCCGATATTTATCCGATACTAAGCCTGTCTTCTTGTTAGCTACTGTCTTTTATAGGGTTTTTTTTATGTCTAATATTTAATTGTAGAAAGTAATATAGACAAGATTCATCTTCCAAAAGGCTAAAAATATGATTCAGACAAAACCGGTAAGTAACCTGGACTTACTTTTAGTTTATGTACATCTCAAATAATTTAACTTCAGGATATTAATACGTTAAGTTTCTCTTGAAATACATAATTGTTTTCACAATATCTTGCAATATTTTGCAAATAAACTTTTATGATCATTCATTGAAAAGAATTAGTTGAATGATCTACAACGTTTGATAAATCTTTAATTAAACCATATACAAAGAAACGTTTTTTATTAAAAGATATAAATCCAAGCTAATTGGACATACAAAATGTCGAAATATTTTTCAATTATGGCAATATCACGTAACAGTGTTACTTCTGGTTCAAACCCTTATTTATGTATTCTTTACCTTTGTACTTATTTTAATGGGTGGAAATGATCAAGGTCATTTTCTAAGAGTGAACATTAACTCTGAGATGCAGGTACATCCAACTGACGAGTCCCAAACAGGACGAAACGTGCGTCCTGGATCCCACTGCTAGCCACTATCCATCTTTGCTTATAATGCTTGTAAATTAAAGCAATACTGAGGCATACGCACAGTATGCACATATGCCAATAAGAGACTGATCAATTACAGTCCTAAAAAAACATCAATGGGAAGATTCAAGCAAACAACAACAAGTGAATTAATTTGATATTGCTCTTTTGGTAAAATCATTTAGTACTTCTATGCAAAAATATTAGAAATATTGTTTTACAATCCCGGTCTCAATGCACTAGGTATTTTGTCTTGTTTTGTTTTTTAAAATGGAAATTATTGTTTTACTCATTTACCCAATTTTGGTCTTTGTATTTTTTTTAAAAAAAAAAGAAAGAAAAAAGAATGAAATTTATTATACAATTAAAATATCTACATATTCTCAACTCCCTTCGCTAGAAAGCAAACTATACTCGATCTCATTTACAAATGATCTCCGGTTACAACTGTAATGAACTTTGTTTATTTTTTAGGATATGAAAAATTGAAATCAAATGATCAAACGTGTATCAATAATGAATTATTTTTCAGATGGAAATGCCTTTGAAACTTTTGTTTTCTATATGGGTTTGGGGTTGTAAATAGCGAGACTATCGGTTGTAGGAGTTTACTTTGGAGGTATCGTCAAGAGTGATTGAAGTTAATAAATCCATCAATAAAACCAGATAGTTGTTCAATATTTCCTATTTTTAGTGATGATTAAATTGAGATAAAATTGTTGTGATTTTTGGTCTGTCAACTATGACGTGTCTAATTCGCCAGTTAGAACACGACTTATATGACCTTGTTAATGTACCATACCAATGATGCGTTGTTCAGTAAGAGCAACCTGGTGCCGACTCTAAGCCCTTATTAGTACTTCCTGCCCAGTCCTGTCCGTTAGCGTCTAGAACACAATCTCAGCTTCCACTGTATGAATCGTATATTTCAGATATACGTAGTTTGTATACGAGCAAACCAGACTGTAACTAATACATTGGGAATAACTGAAAAATAGTAAATCGTATAACAGTAGTCAATAGGTCAAATAAAAGCTTATGATAAAGGGAATATAAATATACATAATCTAGTTACTTAACAAGCAAATATAAATAGTGGGTAACAGTAGAATCCAGGGCGCGCGTTCGATCCTAATTGAGACTCGTCGGCTCCTTACTTACTTACGCCTGTTACTCCTCGTGAAGGAGCATAAGCCGTTCACCAGCATTCACCACCCAACCCTGTCCTGGGCAATTATTTCCAGCTCCTTCCAGTTCCTATTCATCCTTTTCATATCTGCTTCTATTATCCAACGTAATGTGTTCTTAGGCCTTCCTCTTTTCCGTTTCCATTCAGGATTCCAAGTTAGGGCTTGTCTCGTGATGGAGTTTGATGATTTGCGTAATGTATATCCTATCCATTTCCATCGTCTTTTCCTAATTTCTTCTTCAGCTGGAAGCTGATTTGTTCTCTTCCAGAGAAGGCTGTTGCTGATGGTATCCGGCCAATGAATGTTGAGTATCGTGCGAAGACAGCTATTTATAAATACTTGTACCTTCTTGATGGTGGTTGTTGTAGTTCTCCATGTTTAAGCTCCATACAGTAGAATTGCCTTGACGTTGGTATTGAAGATTCTCACTTTGATACTGGTTGAAAGTTGTTTTGGGTTCCATATGTTCTTCAATTGTAGGAATGCGACTCTTGCTTTGCCAATCCTTGCCTTTACGTCTGCATCTGAGCCTCCTTGTTCATCGATGATGCTTCCCAGGTATGTGAAGGATTCTACATCTTCCAGTTTCGCCATCAAGAATGATTGGATTGCTGTTCTCCGCCTTGAATTTGAGGACCTTGGGTTTTTTTGTGTATGTTGAGGCCTACTGATGCAGAGACTGCTGCTACACTGGCTGTCTTTGTCTGCATTTGTTCGTGTGTATGCGATAGGAGGGCTAGGTCATCTGCGAAGTCCAAATCGTCTAACTGATTTTGAGCTGTCCATTGTATCCCGTGTTTTACTTCAGATGTCGAGGTCTTCATAATCCAGCCGACCACCAGGAGAAAAGGAAGGGAGAGGGTAAACAGCCTTGTCTTACCCCGGTCTTTACTTGGAATGCATCTGTCAGCTGTCCTCCATGCACGACTTTGCATTGTAGTCCGTCGTATGAGTTCCGGATAATATTGACAATCTTCTCAGAAACTCCGTAGTGCCGAAGAAGTTTCCATAACGTCCTCCTATCCACACTGTCAAATGCATTTTCATAATCAATTAAGTTGATGTATAGTGACGAGTTCCACTCAACTGATTGTTCGACGATGATCCGTAGTGTTGCAATTTGGTCTGTGCATGATCGATCCTTACGGAATCCAGCTTGTTGATCTCGAAGTTTGGCGTCTACTGCATCTTTCATCCGGTTCAGCAATACTCTGTTGAAGACCTTCCCTGGTATTGACAGCAGTGTAATGACTCTATAGTTTTCACATTTGCTCAGATCTCCTTTCTTTGGAATCGTGACGAGGTGCCCTTCTTTCCAGTCCATCGGCACTTGTTCCTCCTCCCAAATCTTTTTGAGTAGAAGGTAAAGCATGTTTGTAGTTTCTTCGATGTCTGACTTCAGTGCTTCAGCTGGTATGTTGTCCGGACCCGCTACTTTCCCGTTCTTGATTTGTCTGATGGCCATTCTGATTTCTTCCTTCGTTGGTGGGTTGACGTCTATGGGAAGATCTGTGTGTGCCGCTTCGATGTTCGGTGGATTCATTGGAGCCGGCCTATTCAAGAGTTCCTCGAAGTATTCTACCCATCTGTTCCGCTGTTGTTGAATTTCAGTGATTGGCTTGCCTTCTTTGTTTTTGACCGGTCTCTCTGGTTTACTGTATTTCCCTGCTAGTTTCTTCGTTGTATCGTAAAGCTGTTTCATATTTCCTTCTCTAGCAGCTTTTTCCGCTGTCGTTGCTAGTTCTTCCAGGTATTTCTTCTTGTTGGCTCTAATGCTTTTCTTCACTTGCTTGTTTGCTTCTGTGTATTCAGCTTGTGCTTGGACTTTCTCTGCTCGTGTTCGGTTGTAGTTAATTGCTGCCATCTTGTTCTTCCTTTCTTTGATCTTGTCCAGTGTTTCTATAGAGATCTATTCCTTATGATGGTGTTTCTTTAGGCCCAGAACCTCTTGAAACGTTGGAGTTAATGCTTCTTTGATACTTTTCCAGTTATCCTCCATAGTAGTTTCTCCTTTCAGTAAATCTTGTTAAGCTTGGAACCTGTTGTTGAGAGCTATCTTGAATTCATTGAGTTTGTCAGTATCTCGAAGGAAGGCTGTATTGAACCTTTGTAGTGCTGATTGTCCAGTTCTTCTTTAGCTTCGGTTTCATCTTGGCCACAACTAGGTGATGATCTGAAGCTATGTCAGCTCCTCTCCTGGTTCTCACATCTTCC